GGGGGAACAGCAGGAACTGACTGTTGTCCTAGTTTGGGGAGGCTGCCCTGCAACTTTCCTGATGATCAGGCCCTTTAGCGTGGCAGTAGCAGAGAACCGAGTATCTGCATGTAGCTCCTGGAATGGGCTCTCCCTGCAAGACCTATCCTCTTCCCAACAGGCCGGCAACAGCCCTGTATGTTTGTGCTGCAGCAAGCCAGGCAGTCCCTCCAGGTGGGCACAGCATTGACGAGAGAGCAGCAGGGCAGTCGCTCCGCAGTGCTGCATATCCGAGCCCAGGATAAGGGATGTTCAGCCCTCATTATCACCAGGTCAAGCCGTCTCTCGGCCATGAGGAAGAGGCACGAAAAGCAGAGCAGCGCTGACAGTCAGTGTAAACACAGCATCTTCTTGTAAACAAGCAGAAAATGCTGCCTGGGTCAACATGCCTACATAGTACGCTCACCCAACAGTTTGCTCGGGGACCCCTGTGAGTAGTTTGCTGCCTCAGAACAGAGCAATCTTTTGGGACAATCCAGTTTTTTTTCTCCGTAGTATTCTCAATCTAGTATTGTTTCAGCTTAATTTTAACACCCCTCCCAAGAGTCCACAAACCTGTGGCATTTGAAGAGGCTACAGGGACCATGCAGTGGCTCTCAGCCCTACGGCTGGGATCCTCTCTGCTCAGGACTGGCTCCTGCCCTAAGCCAGGTGTAACCAGCATGCTGCCAAAATCAGCACGCTGACAGCTACCGGAGATAACGGCTAAAGGAGATAACAGCCCCGTGTGGCTCCTATGCCTGGCGTGGGCAAGCTGTGTCCAGCCACCTCAGAGTTACTGCCGCCAGCAGAGTGACAACAGGTCAGGGGACATTCCCTGCATGCTCTGAATACCAGGCGGTACCAAGAGAAACATGAGTCCTGTTCTGCCTCGGGATCAACAAGAGTTTAGAAAAAGCAATGACTAAACATTAAACAAAGCCAGATGTTTGGAGGCAGACGGAGCTGCACAGATGGGAGAACTCATCATAGACGTGTGTTTCTAAGGAGGGATCTGCTGTGGCCTTTATGCTCACCAGGCATTTCAGCTGCCTGAGGTTTGCTATGTCCCAAGAGCTCCTAGTAGGGCCCTTACCTTGTTCCAGATGAGGACAGGGGTTGGGATTCCCATGACTTCACAGCTCAGGTAGATCTGTGCTCCTGTCACATTCCAGATGTCCTTAGGAGGGGTCACAATGGAGGGTCCTGCAAAGAGAAATGTTTTTAAGCACCAAGTAACTGCATGCTTGTCTCCTTGCTAGCCTTTTAAGTGGGACCAGTCACTTCTGATGGGCTTTGAGGATAAGGTGAAGGAGGGACCCTGCTTGGAGCAAAGCTTGCTGGACTGATCCCACAGCACTTCCCTCTCCAAAGCTACACATGCATCTGACCTTAAACTGCTCAGGCTGATGGGCACTTGCCCCAGATGGAAACTCAACTGTCGAGTGGCTCCAATGATCAGTTCACCTACTTGCAAGACTGAGGCCAGAGGTAGGACAGTGTTTGTCTTCTGTTATCTTTGGGTCTGAGCAGGACTTTACGAGCTGCTGCCTTTGCTCACCCTGCAGCCACCAAGTGCATCGTTGACACTCATCTGGCATGGAGGAAAGGAGACAGGGTGGGTCCCACTCACTCTCCCATGCCACAGAGAGCTTGGCCAGCCTTGCCACATCCTTTTTTCCTTTTTCCCAGCATGATTTTAATCTGCTGCAAAGCCCGTGGCAGCTGGCTAGCAGAACTCAGTGTCGTGCTGCTCTGGTTTTACTTGTGTGCAATATTCAGCCAGAGGCTGGCTGGAGGGTGGCAGAGCTCTCCTTTGGGGGAGGGTCCGTGAAGGGACCAGGTGAAGGTAGAGCTCCAATCCTAGGTTAAACTGGGAGTTGCTACCAAGGCCAGATAGGAACAGAGCTGTTTTGCAGATCTGGCTGGAGATGTTTATCCCTCAGGCTGGGAAATGTTGGAGAAGTGACCCATATCCCAGGAAGGGAAGAAAGGCCTTTTCTGTTCAATCCCTCTTTAGTGGGGTTGTTTTGCAAAATGCAGCTATTAATTCCCCACAATAGGAAGTGCAGACCAAAGGAGCACATAGTGTTTATTTCCACTTATTGAGAGCTTGAAGAATACAGCAGATTTTCCCCTTCTGCTCTGAAGATGCAGGCAGCGACAGGAAACTGAAGCTCCCATTAGGCTCCACCAGCAGAAGGCATTTCCTATGTGAACAAGTACTCCAGAGCCAGCCTGACTGAAGCCCCTGGGTGTGCTGGGGCTTGGCTCATTCCATGCGCTGAAAAGAGGGGCAGATTTGGGTCCTGATGCTCCTTCTGGGGTCCTGAGCATGCACTGACCTCAGCCCTGCACATGCACTCTGCTCTGCAGCCCTCTTGCAGGCAGTGGGGAGCATATTTCAGGTGCATCCCACTGCACCGACTTCTTCCAGCAGAAAGCTGGCGTCTTGTTTTTTTTTTTCTTCATTGGGATCAGGAGGCAGATCCACACCGGTATCACCAGCCAGAGGACATCAGCCACCCCTCTGTCTTAGCCTAAGGGATGCCGAGGTGGCTCCCCGCTCCCGAGCAGCTGGTGTGATCCCAGAGAAGTGTTTGCTCTTCTCTTCTGAGACTTCCCCGTCCAGGAATGACTGTACATGGCTTGCTGGTGGGAAGCCACGGAGAGACCAGGGGCGGCTACAACCCAAATTCTCCATTACAGAGGTATCCCAGTCCTGCTTTTACTAGGTAGCTGCAGAGAAGCAGGTAAGTTTTATGTGTAGCCCCAGGTGATGGGTTAAACCCACACCTCATGATCAGTTCAGTATGGGCTGGTGTCCTGGCAGACAGCACAACCCAGATGCTCCTCACCTGCACAGAACTGTTGGCTGAGAAAATTATTTCAGTAGCATTTCGCAACACCACCTAACCTGTTGTTGGTGCTGCTGCGTGGACTGACTCCTGTGCACTGGGCAGGAGAGGGCTGCATCAGAGTCACAGCACCCTCTCCTGTACGGAAGGGTGCTGGAGTCATCCTTGCTCCAGGCAGTCTGGAGCAGATCTGTATCTCCAGGCAGTGCCCAGCTCTGTACCCTCAGCAACACTCTGCTGGAGTTTGTTCCCCCCAAGTCCAACTGTAGCATAGTACGGGGGTGATCTGTGGGGCCAGCACCCCCAGCACGCCCCTGCCCAAAGCGCTGCCTGGCCCCTGCACAGCAGCAGGGCTGTGGCCAGCCCAGGGTACCACCATCTTTGCGACGTGGCCACCTCAGCTCACGCACTCTGCTCCCCTTCCCCAGCACGGCTGTGTCCTGAACAACAGAGCTCTTGGCAGCTCCGGTGGGAGCAGATGTCCCCAGGCTGCTTAGCTCACCCCATGCTCTGCAATGACCTCCTGCTGATGTGCACCCAGCACAGCCTGCTGCTGCTGACGATAATGATGATGAGGATGAGGATGATGATGCCTTCTGCTCTGGCCATGTGAAACCCTCCACGTGCAAGGTGGCTTTCCTAGGGCAGAGCTCGAGGCCTGTCCCTAGAGGCAGGGCTACTTTCGCCCCTGTATGACACTGTCCTCCTTAACACCAGTCACTAGGTTCTCCATGAGGCTGGAGAAACAGCTGCCCCAAATGACCAACATCTCCCACTGCAGAAAAGGAGAGATCTTGATTCTCACATTAAAAGCTGGGTGGATTTTAAGGCACTGTTACG